GGTAAAAGAGGTGTTTAAGAAGCTGACACAACTAGATGCAAACAAGTCCACTGGCCCCGATCAAATTCCACCACTTTTCTACAAACGTACCGCAGCATTACTAGCTCTTCCTCTAACAATTATATTCAATCATTCTTTAGCTAGCGGTACGTTTCCCACTGAATGGAAAAAGGCAAGAATTGTTCCGATCTTCAAAAAGGGTGACCCGCATAATGTAAAAAATTATAGACCTATCACGATATTGTCCTGTCCGTCTAAGTTATTGGAGTCATTAATATATCCAATAGTCGCACAATATGTAGACAACTATATTACTCCACACCAACACGGCTACCGTAATGGGCGGTCGATTCAGACTAATTTAGTTACTTTTATATCTGATCTGGTACATGAAATCGACAAAGGCCACCAGGTGGATACTGTGTATACTGATTTTAGTAGCGCGTTTGACAAAGTTAATCACTATATACTGTTACAAAAGTTAGAAACTTTTGGTCTAGACATGTATCTCTTGGAATGGCTTCGCTCTTATTTGTCACAAAGATATCAGTCAGTTGTAATAAAGGGCTTTGAGTCTAACGCATATATTGCACAGTCGGGTGTGCCACAGGGCTCTAACCTGGGACCCTTACTTTTTGTTTGCTACATAAATGATATCACATCATGTGTGAAACATTGTAAGTACTCTCTCTTTGCAGATGACTTAAAAATATATAAAAAAATAGAATCCTGTGTAGATATAGCACTGATTCAAAGGGACTTGGACAATGTTGAAGTATGGTGTAGGTCCAATGGAATGGAACTAAATACCAAAAAGTGCTCCTACGTTCGTTACACCAGAAAAATAAATACTTTTCCTTCAACGTACACTGTCAATGATGAACATTTGGTAGAATTACCAGAGGTACGGGATCTGGGTATCATCATTGACAGTAAACTCAAATTTACATCACACATTAATCATATAAGGCCGCCCAAATGTTAGGTTTTGTTAAAAGGAACTCAAGATCCTTTAGTAACAAAACTAAAATTGTATTATTTAATACTCTAGTTCGTAGTCAGCTTGAATATGCTTCTGTGGTATGGAATCCTGCCTATACGGTGCACTCCCAACGCTTGGAATCCGTACAACGAGCTTTCACAAGGCACCTCGCTTTTGATTCACCGAATATTTCCCATAGATGCCCATATGACCAGCGCTTGAAGTTTTTTAAATTAATGTCTTTGCGTGACAGTCGTAGACTTCATGATGCACTATTTCTGCACAAATGCGTGAATGGAACTTTTAGAAGCGACGAGATACTTTCGCGCATCTCACTCTCAGTTCCTTATAATTTACCCCGGAAACCCATCACGCGATTGTTCCATCAACCGGCTTGTAGAACCAATGTCATTGAGCATGCCCCTGTTTCTCGTGTTTGCCACACTCACAATAGTTTTAATGCTGAAATACCTGACCTCGATATATTTTTTGATTCCCTTGCAAAGTATAAGACCAAACTCATGAAACTGTTGCTTGGAACCTCATTGGACTGATTTGTTTGTTTTTCTTTTTCTTTTTTAATTTAATTTAATTTTGTATACTATTTGCAACTTTAATTAGTCTCTGAGAGTTTGTTACTGAATGTTGTGTTCACCTGTAATTGGCTTGTGTATCAGAATCATGTTTACTAGTTTTAAGTTACTTCAATGCTATAATACATATGCTGTTGGTGTACCTATTATAAATAAATAAATAAACTTCTGCGTACTTGGATGACAAAAATCCGTGGTAGTAACTCGTTTAGCTCATGGAGGTAGTCTCGATCTCTGATGTTTCAAATAAAAAAAAAATATTGTAAATGTTATTTACAATGAGCAACCCCTAGAGTTTCTTGCTCATTCTTCTCAGGGGAATCTGCCTTACGAATGAGCGGTAGAGTTTAATATTGTGACGATTTCAAGTGTAATAATGCTTACCTATGAAATAAAGATTATTTTGAATTTGAATTTGAATCTGAATATGTCTCAGGGGTAACAGGCGCAGTGGCAGTGCCCCTCAGATCATTGTAATTTAAAGCTCTGAGTGGCACTGCAGCTGTCATGGACAGGCGTGTAGCTTACCATCAGACGCACGACTTGTTCGTCCCGTCACTTGATGTTATAAAAAAAATATTATTTTATGCTCTCGCCTCCCCCAAGGCCTAAAAAATTAACTTTTGATTGGGAGAGGCGGTACACAGTCGGCCTGGGTCAAGGATTCAAGAACCGGTGAACAACACGTGCCATATGGAGCAGGACGGCTTTCTGAATTTGTACTATAAGCGACACGCCACAGAAATCCAACCGCCTCAAGCCGTTAGCAAAGCTGACTGAAATTAACCCATTTGCGGACAAAACAATTGGGATTGTTTCAGTGATCACACATGTCGGTGAACTCGTGCGCCGGCGTTTCTCGGTTTCGGCTTTCACGAGACCCTCGTCATGCGGAATGGTAACGTCCATAAGAAATACTTTCGACTAAGATCGATCCAATATCACAATATCAGGCTTATTCGCAGAATAGTCCTGTCTGTGATAATGGATCGATCCCAGTAGATTTTGGTACGGTCATCTTCGAGTATTGGCTCCGGTAATATGGCATCTAATAACTTGTAATATGGCATCCTCTGTTGCACGAGTCCGTACTTCAGAGCGAGCTCTTGGTGTAATATTTTGGATGCCTGGTTGCGTCTGTGCAAGTGCTCAGTGTTAGCAAGAGGGTAACTACCGGAAACAATATGCCTAAGTGACTCTCCGAGACGGCCACATACCCGACAAATGTCTACGGTACCGTCCTTTGCGTCCATGATGGATAGGTGGTTCGCTCGTTGTGACCACAGAACAATAAATACAAGACTAATGCTTATTTTGCGTGCCACATGTGCAGCTCGTGGAGTTCCGCAAACGCGAAAATTAATAAAGGAGGATTTTGATAAAGATGTAAATATAGACACTATAATAGAAAACGAATTAATTATGTGTACTGGTGACACTAGCTCAGCTGACGATTTTGGTTCGTCTTCAGATAAAAGTGAATAAAAAATTAAATTATGACGCCTTTGGTTTTACTTCAGAGTTTTGCTATATAACTACAGGTTGTCCTTGTGAACTCTGCTAATGTAACTCACTACAACAACAAGTAAAGGTTGTCGTTGTGATCATTTAAAATAATTATTATTTATATTGTACTGTATAGTATTTCAATAACCGTTAATCGTAAAGGGCCAAGAGCATGTCAAGCTTGACACTTAAGATTTAAATCCAACTCTATGCCGCTTACGGTAAAAACGGTCCAAAGTACAAAGTGTCAAGCACGCGCATTCAGTTCAAATATTATTATCAAATTATTTTTACAACCAGTAGGTCAAAAGATTATTATTTTTATTTATTATTATTATCTAGTAACATGAAACCGTGCCACTATTACTACAAGGTAACCTAATGCAATAGCGTTATAAACGTTATAAACGTTACGCTCGCATATATCACTAGAACTTTAGGTACATGTACTCTGCCTGTTTCGATCTCTGATAATAATTGTCCTTACCACTAACCGAATAAAGTAAATGAACATGCTGTCACTTTCGGTTTTGCAAATTTAAACCCTTTGTTAAAGTGTAATTATTGGAATATGGAGGGTTTATCGTAACCCTAATATCTGTTCATTAACATGAAAGCCCTTAAGTTCATTCCACTAATGTTGATTTTATGTAATTTTCTGCATTGTTTTGGCATTATTTTCTTTATAAATTAAACTTAATATGCTTAGTATTAGAATTAATGTAAGGTATCGCCATCACAATAGGGATAGAAGTTCACAACATACTTCCCCAGATAATGACGCTTTGCGGACTTAAACTGCCTCAGTGGCTGAACGGTTACCACGCTGGACTGCCACACAGAGGTATCGGGTTCGATTCCCGGGCCCACATAATACATAATGTATTTATCTCGTGCTGGGTTTGGGTGTAATATGTGGTTATCTATGTGTCTGTCCATGGCACCCAGTGTTTGATTATGTGTACCAGAGAACGGAATTCTAGGGCTTTTCCCAGAACACCCAGACCAGAAAGGAATATAGAAAGTTCATTTCCCAAATGGTCCTACCTAAATCGTCAGGCCACCGAGGTTATCAACGAATTTAAGAAACAGACGGAAATGGTAGCGTGGTCAGACCCTCATAAGTATGGTAGCCGTCGAGGCCGTTGTATTATTATTATAAATAAAAACCTACAAGTTATTAAAAAGACAACATAATTTAAATTTTATCCTTGTCATATAAAGTCTGCGTGATTGAAATCTACCCTAATTTTATTTCATCAAAAACTAGCAACCCATTAAACGACACTTGAATGCCAAAGGATCCCTTGTCGTGCTGTCCCGCCAATGGGCACCAAGCCTTATTCCATAATACGTTATGTTTTGTCCATTAGAGGCCAAAACATGTTTACACCGCTTAACAATTGAAGCTATCATCGCGAAAGTAGTGTAACCCAAATTTTTTTTTTCTGATATATCACTATAAATGATACAACATAGAAGTACATAATTATTTTATATTTGGATGCTATTTTCGTGTGTAAAAATTATGTCGTTATATATTTTTTAATATAAAAATAATTAAAAATAATTAAATATTTTTTATACTTAAAAAAGAAACATTATATAATATATATCGAGTTCTTAGGTTTTCGCGATTGTTACATATAGAAAATGAAACTATTTTTCCGGATTTAAATCGCGTATATATGTTTTTTCAACCGTGACCATGGGACCTGTAAAGGGCCCGAAACGTCGGTTTGTTTGAAAAAACAAATATACGCGATTTAAATCCGGAGAAATAGTTTCATTTCCTAGATATATAATATATTTATGTACGTACGTACTTTTATATCATTTAAAGTAATATTGTACAAAATAAATATTAATGTTGGTTACGAGTAATATTGTAGAATGTTGGTTATACCACTTTTGCGCCGACTGCATCAATTGATTGTTCAAGAAAATAAGCATGTAATTAATTACCCTTTAACTGAAAGTGTTTATTGATTAAAAAAACATCATAATTATCGTTTGTAAAAATCAATTCCGAACAGTGAAGAATTATAAAATAAGTGGTGAAAAAATAAATAAAGTTGCAGCTGTAACCTACAAAATATTAATTCGTGATAATGCATCTTACACATTACATATCCTTTTTATTTTTGTATTGTTCGCTCGACTGCCATGAACTTTCGGAAGTGAGTATGTATAATGTATTTAGGGGGTACGCAGAGTTCTACATGCTACGATCTTGACACGGATCTTTCACCTTATCGCCTAACCCAACAGGAAAAGCGCATTTACATCGCATAGTCCATCGTAGAGAAATTAAAATGGAGAATTTCGATAGCGAAATATTTGTTTGGTAAATAAAAAATTCCTTCTGCATTTGAAATCATAAATGTTTAGAATACAGTGACAAGTTACAAGCAACATCTATGCTTCTAATTCCACATCAACAAATACACGGAGTTCCTGACCTAGGTATGTGGCAATAACTGCTCGGGGTGTCGACTGTATGCCCTTGTTTATGTAGCAGCCTAAGACCCATTTTCTAGAAAAGCTGAGATAAGATCGGAATTAACAGATCCCATGTAACCTTCAAAACCGAAACGCAATCAAAACCAAAATAATTTTTATTTACATCGGTAATCATTATTACACTGAAATCGTCACATTGGTTAAACTCTACCGCTCATTCGTAAGGCAGATTCCCCTGAGAAGAATGAGCAAAAAACCCTAGGGGTTGCTCTTTGTAAATAACGTTTGCACACATTCAACATTCACAATATATTTTTTTATGTTTTGAAACATCAGAGATCGAGACTACCTTCATGAGCTAAACGGTTATATTATAAATCTGGAAGTCTAGTTATTATTAATCTAGTTATATAATAAATCTGGAAAAATAATTTCAGTTCTTATGTGCAATAATCGCGAAAACCTAAGAACTCGATAAATATTTGTTGTAAACTGAGTGTTAGACTACCCGATTGGTTCAATTCCCATGTGATTGCCCATCTCGGGCATGGTAACCGCTCATTTTCCACGGAAGCAGTTAAATGTAAGAAGAAGAAGTTTGCCAGGTATAAGAATAGAATAGAAAATCATTTATTCGACAAAAGCAAAAACATAAAAGAAAAGTTAATAACATTAAAAAAAAGAAGAGAAAAACAGAGTAACAATTAGGCTTGACAAAAACAACCAATCATTATATGCTACTCTGCATGCCCCTCCAAATAGGTCACCACCTCAGCATATTACCCAGCAAATGAGCAGGTGACCCATCTCTTTTTCGAAATTAGTTAAAAACTTGACATATCTATTACAGGAACCTGATACTGGAATAATTGATATCATTGGACTTCCTGACATTGAAACCAAACTTCTGTCCAATAATCAATTGCGTAAACGTACTAAAGACACATCGTGTCCAGGCTGCGTATCCGAAGTTAAGAACTATGATAAACAACTAATAGGAGACTTGATTGATAAGGCACTACACGAACTATACCTAACGGAAAATGTGGAATACTCTCGAGGAAAAATTATAAAAGTAAAATCTGGTGTAGTGGCTGGCATCATATACTACATAACTTTCCAAGCCACTAAAACTGACTGTAAGAAAATGGAATGTCCCATCGCAGAATGCCAGACAGATATAGTACAGAAGGCATGGCTTAATGAAACAAATGTCATATGTGTCGAGTGTAACTGAATCTTGAGAGTGATGGTAATGACAATCGTAATTCACAGTAAAATGTATTTTAACACTGTCTTGATTATACTCTAAATTATTTTCATTGGTTACTTATTCATTTATTTACGTCCCAGACGCATTGTACACACACCACACACCAGCATTATATTTTGTTGACGTGTATTTAGAAGAAACGTTTCGTAATTTGTAACAAAAGATAATATTTTGTTTTGCATATCTTATCCTTTACTTTTAATCATTATTTCCAGCATTTCAGACTGACTCTTAGTTTATTTTTTGGAATTTAGGAGAAGATACTATTTTTTCTAACACCCGTGTATTTGTTTTTTCAAAGAAAGCAACGTTTCGGGCCGAAGGGCGATCTGTGAATACAGGTCGCACGGTCACATATGACAAATATACGCGATTTAGACCCGAAAAAAACAGTTTTATTTCCTCTAAGTACCTAACAATCGCGTAAATCTAAGAACTCGATTTTTTAAATTTACTTAAATATACCACTTTACCTTACTAGAAAGAAGGCCATATATGCAATAAGAATTAAGTCTCTTTAATTTTCACCAGCTAAGCAAGATATTTATCATTATCAAAT